AGCTAATTGTCAGCCTCTTATATGTATGCTTCTCGTAAACAATTAGTCAATATGCATTAGGGCTGCCCTCGACTAAAGATTTTTCTGGTGGACTAGTAATTGTTCATTTTAAGCATTAGTCAACTATTAGTTGCACTTTTATTAATAAACCATATAAATGATATTAATAATGAGCCTTTAATTGCCTACATAGCCTAATAAGCGCTCAAGCGCACGCAAAAAAGGCTTGCCACAGTGCACCGGAAAATATAATTATGAATGTGTTAGGGAAAAACAGCAAGTACACTGCATTAATGTTTTAATAATTTATTGTTACACTAGTGCTTTCTGTTTTCGGTTTAAGAGATGAAGTCGGCGACACTGACTCGTCGTCTCCGCAGTATGCGCCTGTATGCATGTTTCATACGGATTACATAATCTGAGAATATTTGTTTTCAATTTGAATAGGTTCATTTAAAAGCTTCACTCTCTATAGACATATATTTTCATGGCTGTAATAAGGCAAGCGTACATGGAGTTTCGAAGTGATGCGCTCAAGTTCACAGAGTCCGAGAGGACAGAAAGCACACCCTGTTTGCTTTCATTATTTAACAAAAGCGCAACGTTTCGTTGTTATTCTGAGTGCACACGAATAAACATAGTCTTTACAGATACAAAAGATGCATTAGCCTACTCTTATCTGTATGACCAAAAATGACGAAGTATTTTAAGAGCCAATGATCGCACCGGCGCCTCCATCTGTCATGCAGTAGCCCAAGCGCGCTACTGTTCAGCTTCCACACTCCGCACAAACACGTGAACAGCGCACTTTTTTCTAGGCTAACATTAGATTGAGCTGCCATGTAAAGTTGCTACTACAAACATTTTTCAGACGATAAGCCATATTTGAGGTCGATGGATGTTAGGAGAGTATATGGATGTCCTGCCCGATGTACTATATTACCACATAGACCAGCCGTTAACGATTTGTCCGTCACGGACTGCGTGATTTCGCCACTTCATGTGAAATTTTTTTTCCTCTGCGACTAATAAAATTTTGGTAATATGCATATA